CACGTGACTTAACCATGACATGAAAATTTAATACTGTATAAAATTTTAAAACCTGTTTTAAACTAATCAATAGGTAATAATAGTATAAACCAAAATATTAAACAGTTATAAGTTTATTTAGTTAAAATTTAAATCTCAAACATGAATATCGAAGAAGTCTGCGCTATCAATTACGTATAAGTAGGAGAAATATTGATTGCATACTGCATTTTCCATACCCTAAAAACTGCACTTTCACATAATATCATTGTTAAGATATTTCCTCGTTGGGGAAACTTATCAAACTAACATTAACAGCAAAATTCACAAAAACCCCGAAATATATTGAAAAATACGAACTAGTTTATGTAATGAACCATTTATTATTAGACTTTTGCATTCAATTTGATGATACACATGTACATTAGCATATAATTTATAGTATCGTTGAAATCGCACAAACAATAATTCTTTTAGTTCGTTTATCTTTTTTCTCCATTTATATTCCAATTAATAAAACAAAGAAGAATAAAACAAATAGTTGAAAAATGCAAAATGCAAGAAATTACGGAGTAAACTTTTTAATTATCAGATCAGAATGACTAACTTGTATCTATGTATATATTTCAGTTTGTCTGTGGTTACGTAGACGTGCCTCCTAAAATCGCACCAATACTCTAATAAACATATTATGTAACTGATATATGATAAAAACATTAATTTCAGCAAATCTTGCGATTCGAATATAAATGCTTATGCAATTATTCAATATTGTAGTTCTTCTTATTGTTTCAAAAGCACAAATTTTTGTTTCAACCTCGCTCCTATTTTAACTATTATTACAACAATTTTGTAGCACTTACAAAATCAAAGCCTATTAAAAGACTTTACTGGATTTAATTGAAAATTTCCAATACCTCACAAGTCACTCAAATTTTTATATATTTAAAAAATCTGTATTCCCTTTTTGTGGCACGTAAATGTTTCCAAAATATTTAATTTATTTTACATTTACCTGAAAGAAAAACCCGACTGTGAAGCAACCTGCACGAATGAAAACCGAATTTGATTTGACATTTGGCAGAGAACGTAAATTATGACAGAGAACGTTTATTATAAACGTTATCTGTTATGATATACGTTCTCTGTAAATACGCTCTAATATTTCACATTCCGAACGATATTTCTAAACACGATTGAATAACAAAACATTTATAAATATTAGAATAATTTATCTGATATACTAAATTAAAAAATATAAATCTAAACTTCTCTAAACATTTACGGGAAATTAAAAATTTAAATTTATTATTGCAGGCGAGAAATGGAAACAGACTTATTTAGTGCTGCCATTTATGGGTGGATAGACAGTGATGGCTAAAGCAATAGCATTGCAATGGTTAACATAATTTCTTCGATTATTAATGTTCCCAAATAGTTTTTATAGCAAATTATATAATTAGTACAAAATTAGTTGTTTCTTTCTAGATTTAGGGCTTCCTAAAAACTGTGGGTCGGCTTTAGTATACCGTCCCAGGATTTCGGAAATAAAATTAGTATGGTCGGATAGAGAAGATTCTCCAGATCAAGATTACAGCTGCAGGAAGCTTATAGTTTTCGAGATATTCTCGTTTAAAGTTGAAAATTACCACTATTTTAATTACGCCTTTTGCGAGTTCAACGCGAAAAAAATCTGATACACCCCGGTGTTCTTTTTAATTTAATTTTGGAATATGTTTGGCGGAAAAATGTGGCCAACAGACACGATGATTTGTTTGTAAAGTATTTCGTAAACTATAAGCTTCCTGTGGCTATAACAATATATATTCTTGATCTGGAGAATCTCCTCTATCCGATCATACCCATTTTAAGCCGAAATCCTGGGACGGTATACTAAATTCTATTATATATATGTACATACGTTACAATGACAGAGAAGGTAAAGAAAATTGGACAACTACAGTTGGATTTCCCTAATTCGAAATACCAAAAAAAAACACAACACACTTCTTGTTATTAGATGGAAATTTGTTGCCAATTCAAGAGTTCGAGTTATGGAAGTTAGTACATACATCTCCCATGCAAACGAGTTTTTTCTTGTCTCTTCGAATTTTAAATTTAAATTTACAATGCATAATATTTAAAATATTTCTCGGATGAGGGGTTAACTTTAAAAATGTTTATGAAAATACACTTAAAAATTGTTTTAAGTTTTTTCATATATGCATATACTCACAATATTTTTGTAATATAAGACTGCGTAAGACTGAGTTTACACAGGATGAACTTTTTCTCTCATAATCGGGAAATTGTCTTTTGGTGTTTCAAAGTGAATTTTACGTAGAGAACGTTGATTATATAATAAATACAATCGCCATTCCTTTTCATGTTCAACTTCTTTCTATCGTTCCATTTGCGCTTGATTTCAAATCATGTGATGTATTTGTAATACAGGACTTCATTGATATATTTGCCAGATCGACCGATGTTTTCAGTAAAAGCGCAATAAGCACTGAGGTTCACACATTCCAAATCTGGGGGTATTGATATTGACAATTTTTGAAAGAGAAATTACAATTCTTTAAGCAACTTTATGTTGCAAAGTTATATTCCTATATCTATATCTAACTAGTTTTTTATAAATAGTTAATTTTATCTAATTCAAAAATAATAGAAAAAGTCTTTATTTTTGCAATTGTCAAAATCTTAATAATCTGAATTTTTCTAAGCAATACATTTACTGTTTATATATTATATAAAAATGAGAGTAGGCTAAATGTAAATTTTGTTACATCATAACGGATTTTGATAATTGAAGTAGCATGCTTTCAACAAATCCTTTGGTGGTTCCAAGATGGTTTGAGATCTGCGGGTTTAAAGTGGAAACATCATACCTTAATACATATGTACGTATATGGAAGCGAGGTTACCCCTTTTGTAAAGAATATGTAGGCCAATGAATTTTTTACGTTCGTAAATTTTACTGGTAGTTCGAAGGTTATTCGGATATCTAGTCGTTAAAAGTTATTTACAAGTATTAATTGAGAAATGTTATTCGTATTGATTTAAGCAATAACCCGTTAGTTGGTCTGAAATACAATCGAACACGTCGAAGGCTAAATCACAGCTTTCACCACGTTTTGGTAGTTTGCGTCGATCGATATTATACTTTATTGTAATTGCATGCAGGCAGAGATTTACGGATCGGAGTGTGGCCATAAAAAAACCGTGTTCATTCACTCCTTCTGAGTAAAAGTTTACTAAGCCGTCAAGAGTAGGCCATCCCAGTTTGTCGATAGCTTTATTTTTCGCATAAACGCAGTGTAACAGGCACTACAAAACAACAAAAATTGTTAGAAAGAAGATTAGGAAAAAATATACTCATAAAAGCAATTAGAAACGAGTAAACCACAATTGAAGAGTGTGATCACTGATCAGTGACCGGCGTTATTTTTTTTTCTATTTTTATTTTATTGTTGTAGACTTGAAGCAAACAAATCGGGGCGAGCTATAAAAAGTGTGTGAAGTTATGACTATTGTTTGCAGATCCAAAGACAGCTTATTTCAAAAGAACCATGACTTTTGTTAAATGCGAATATGCTTTTTTGTTTAGTCGGCAACAACAGGTGCTACGAAAGGGGTGTACTGAGTTAAGTATTTATAAGTATTTGCACATATGCAATTACAAAAATACATTGAATAAAAGTTCATTTAACTATCATTGAATATAACTAGCACAAAGCGGCATGCGTTTTCTAAGTAACGAGGACAGTAAATTTTTGCCCATTATTAAAAAAAAATACAATTTCATATAGACATATACAGTATTTGCCACAACCTACAACTTGGTATACATACATATGTACGTATCTGCATACTTTTGAATACTTGCTTACTTACGCCAGCTAAACGTTTTTCCTCCGCGGGTACCAATGTAGGATAATAAAGGGCACTACGCGCGTTATATGAAATGCGTCGAATGTGGTTCATCAAACTGGTCACTTGTTGCCTCTCTGGTTGAAATTGATATGCATCATGTTGAGACGCTAACTTAGAGTTTTCTTCGATGGTATGGAAAATAATCGATTGAACAGGAACTGGTGCGGGAGCCGAATTAATCTCCGAGATGTTATCTACAGTAATGTCCAATGCTGTATTTTCATTTTTTACTTGACTTTTTAGAATGTAGTAAGCTTCTGCGGTAAATAAGTTTTTAATTTTATTAGACGTTACAAACAGCTAAATGGAGTTCCTACCGCTAATTAGTTTATTTTTGACTTCCTCTTGACACTCCTGTATAAAAGATTCCACTCGGCGGGCAGTACGAGGGGGATTCAGGCACCTATTCTTTTGAAATCAAAATATACAATACGAATGATGTATAACAAACAGTATTATATTAAACTACATAGTATGTATTATATAAAGTACACAAATTGTGATCCTTTGGAACGCAATACCTTGGTGAATGAATGTGAGTCTTTCGCAAGGATACCAGACTTATCTAGCAGAATCAAGGCTATATATGCTCTACAGACTACGTTAGATATCATTGTAATGTATTTATAATATTAATTAAAATAAATTGTACGTATAAATGTACGTATTTTATTATTTTGTTGAAAGAAAGCGAAAACGGCACAACCACTTCGGGCGAATAATTTAACTTAAATGAAAACGAAATCACTTTTAATGCTACCCCTAACATAGTCCAGCTGTGCCACATTAATAGCTCACTTTCTATTGCACATAACACGATCAAAAGTTGTAACAGCAAGATTCAATTTTAGTGATGGTGGCATTGGCAGCGTCTTTACAAGTTTCAATGTCAACGCTTCATCTTTCACATTTATTTACGTCCAATCATGATAGGATTTGTGTTGCAACATTGCCACTAAACGGGAAAACAAGTTGCTAACGGCATTGCGTGAAATTGAATCTGCGTGTGGATATGTAGCAGTCATAGTGAAAAAAAATGTATATGAACAAATATAAATCCTTTCACACATTAAATTAAAAAAACTTTCAGCTTCTATTTGGAGTTCTGTTTTTTAAGATAGTTGACGACAAGTAAACGTGTGGCACTTTGCGGTCAACTTTTCAAATTTGATACTTTTATTATATTTCAAGTACAACTTTCTGGTAATGATACTGACTATGGCTGAACCAAGTTGTTGTTGGTGAAAATGCTTGCATGCTACACCGCTTATGTTCCGGTAATTTATGAATGGTCCTCGGACCTATATAAAAAAGGTCGGGTTTAAAAATTTATGAACATTTTTGTCTAATATATTTGTGAAGCCGAAAACCAGCCGAAAGCCTATAATGCTAGCGCTGCGTACTTTAGTTTATTTAATAATTTGTTTATTATGTAAGCTTTAATAAAATAAAATAAAAATAAAAATATTTGTGAAGCTTTCTGTTATTATTATTTATGAGTAAAGTCGGGAAGTGAAAGAATCTTTATGTTTATATTTGCTAATTAATTAGATTAATAATAACGCATCGTCATTGAAGTATGCCTTTGCAGAAGTTTACACATTTTAATTACTAAGCGACCTTTGAAATTAGTAGCGCATGACTAAGAATTCAAATCAAGGTGAATGTTAGTAGATGGGATATAATATACGAAGGATATTAATCTGTGAGATACATATATTCTTTAACTCATTATTTAACGATTTATTTGGCTATATACTCTAATGATTAACTATATGTATAGTATAAGTATGTAAATATTTTTATTAGATTAATAATAAACAAGTAAGGAAAGCCTAAGTTCGGGTGTAACCGAGCATTTCATACTCTTGCAACTTGCACGGATAAAAACCTGGGTAATACTTTTATACTTTTAGGCGTTGACAAAACTTTATATTTAATTGTGCAAATTTATTTTGAATACTTCTTTGATGTTTGATTCGTATACTGGAGCCTGGTTGTCATCCAACTGACACAGCAAATTTGATTGAAATTAGGAAACCCGTTTTTAAGATTAAGGATTTCATCTAAATGTGAGTGGTCCAACGCCTACTGTCCAATTTTTATGACTGGTCTTTCAAACCCATCATAATTGTAAAATTTCATTAGTGGCGTTCGTTTAAGTCGTTTTTTAGCGTGGCAATGGTCTGATTATGCCCATTTGCAATACCAACCTCCCTTGGGAGGGAATATGTGTACCAAGTTTCATCAAGATAACACAATTTTTACTCAAGCTATCGCTAGCACAGACGACAGTCCTTTCGAATTCAACTTGTCTCGTAATCCTGATCCTTTATATATGTATGTATATAACTCGATATCTATCTCGAACAATTTTAGTGAACAAAACTCTTTAATCTTTAGCAACATGTTGCAAGAGTATAAAAACGAATGTATGTATGTATGTTTTGGCGCTCTTTTAAATTTGTCACATCTAAGAAATCGTTATCGAAATTCACTTAGTTGCTAAAGTAGCAGGAAATGAAAACATATTTATAAAATAAACTATTATAACAAAAAGAAGAACTATGCAAACAACAATCAACCTATGACGAGCATCCGTATGATTCCACACTATTTTATTGCTATGGTTAATTCTGGTCTATAATAAATTCATGGCTGCCAAGCTGGAATTAAAAACAGCACCGAATGAAGGCTCCGCTTTATATAAGTATCAAAATGCAGCTGTATGAATGGAGAGAATATCAAACGTATACACAAATATATGTATGTACACATATGTATGTACATACATAAATGTAGCTAAAAAGAAAGCAGTTCATCCACGGCATTTTGCGTACGAAGCTTTAATTCGACCTGCCTTTGAGAGTGCATGCTCCAGTGAAATACTAACCCGATTTCAATTACATTCTAAGATGTTGAAGGTAGGAAACATTGCTATGTAACTGTATTTTAATTGATTAGAGAGGAAAGACTTTTGTTTTGGTAAGTGGCTAAAATATGGGAATGTGGAAATTGAGATCTTATATCATATAATATTATATTATATTTATTAATGACAAAATAATAAATAACAGAAAAATACTTATGTATGTAAGTATATACATATAAATAGTTACATGCATAAATGTATGTACTATATGAAGGTACAAATATGTACGAAAACACTTTAAATACAATGACCGGAATGTCCACCTTTAGCTTTCTTAAGGGGAATAACCGCATATTTTCATATGTCTACATCTGTTGCAAATAACACAGCCTCGGATGTCAGAAAGGCCATGAAAATCTACTGCATGTTTACTTAATTTATAGGGCTAGAAGAAGAATGCTGCATATGATGCGTGCTGGTGGATTACCGGTAAATAATAATTGCACTTAATTACCCTCATAGTTAAATTCTTATTCCGGTGGCTAAAAATTCACAACTATCATCAAATTAATTTTTACTTCGATGTTTATTAGTGTAGAATATTATTCCTATTATCGTGCGGATTAGCGAATGAAACTGAATATAGTTTTGTGTTAAGGGAATTATAAGGATCAAATCTAATAATAAAACGAAAAGGAATAAAGAAGGACAATACAGAACATAGTTGCTAGAAAAACGAATATTTTAATGCTCTACTCGATGGAGAGTAGCAGAACCAGCACCAAGTTCAAGAATGCGTGTAACAATCAACATCAGTTGCATGTGGATTGAAGCTACAAAATAAGTTCTCTCAACAATCGACCCAGTCGACCGACCCATACGTGTTGCCATTATCGTGTTTCTGTTTTGCTGCTGCTGTGGGGTTTAATACATACTTTGTTACGAGTACATATTTTTGCAACAAGACGAATAGAAGACGTTCCAGTGGTTGCTGCTAAACATATTCATAGTTATTGTTTATTTATCTGTTTATGTGGGTGGCCAGGTGAAACATTCTCTGCCACCACACGTCCTCCATAGTATGTAAAGCAATGAGAAGATGCGTTTAAATACGGAGACAGTAACAAACAGAACACTCAGTTCTCGTTCTGTTCTTAACGTTTTCGGTTCTAGCGGCGCGCGTTCATCCATAAACAGAATCGTATTCAAAAAGGACGTTTAATTTAAATCGAAAAACTAAATTAAAACACTAGAAAATTTATATGAATTTAATAAATAAATATCCTATAGGAATGGTTCAATATATGTTTTTATTAATTGGTATAATGTGTCTTAATGGCAAAGTAACAGAAGCTGAAATTGAGGAAAATACCATCAATGGTGACGGATCTTTTTCGTTCCGGTAATTCGAACGTTATTATTCATGAAGTGAAAAAATGCACTGAACGAATCACTCAGAAAATGAAAGAAATGTTAAGCTTAAGTCTAGAAATATTACGGCGACATTTATTGGGCGAGAAGAAATACTACAAGAAGTACTGACTTACCCTACAAAAGTAAATATATTTATGCAGACAGCATTAAATTTTAACAGACTTTAATTGAGAACAAAAGAAAAGTACATTAATAAAAAAAAGAAAGAAGTTCGTAATAAATTAAAATCAAAAACAAAACAAAAGATAAAATAACTAACATTAAAGGAAAAATAGTTTACCGGCGATCTGATTTCGGGACGGGTGGCGTGTGGGTGAATTTTTAAGGTTTAAGAATGGTTTATCTATGAGTTCTATAGAAAAAAGTTGTATGGCATTTTTAGAAGTAATGAGAAAGTCCATCTTTCGAACATATGTATATAAAAATTTGAATAAGTATCTAAAAGAAACATTGATATCATCTGGAAAAGTTTTCTTTTTTGAAAAGTCGGCAGGAGCATACATAATTTTAAATTCTAGACCCACTCCGAAAATTTTGTACGACCTCGCAATTCATTTTGTTTACCACACAAAATTTAAAAAGATTCTTTGAACGATTTTTTAGAATAGGCTAAAGTCGAAGATGAATCAAAACTTTTCCCAGCAAACAATTGTAAATAATTAACTAAACATTTAAAATGGCCGACCTTGTCCGCATAAGCAAAGGATATGAGTAGCAACATAACTCCACGAAATAAGCGAAAAACGAATACACAAAGTTCGCGATATTATCAACAATTGTAAATGACATACATACATACATTTTTCGAAAATGTTTTACTTTTATTTACAGGCATTCTAATGACGATATTGGCAGTTTTTACCACAGTGCCTCGTCAAGTCCAGACAATATAGTACAAGGACGTTATGGGTCTCGAAATCCTTCCACAGGACAATTGGAGGAAGTTGTCTACACTGCGGGACCACGGGGGTAAGCACAAATTCAATTATTAATGTTTGAATATATTTAACTTTATGGTAGTAAGCAAAAAAATAATATTCCAGTAAAGAATACACTTCAAAATAAACGAAATATACCCAACCCCCTTACATAAAATTGTAGGTCTGTATATTCGTTATGCTTATGTGTAACGCATTTTTCTGGTCATACAGTCATTTATGCGAAAATATGTATGTATGTATGTACATATATACTCATGTACATATATACATACATACATATGTGCAAGAGAGGAAGTGCACTGAAGCGAAAATCTCACAATTTCAGCACAATAAACACTACATTATCTCCCCCAATTTTCCATCATTCAAAGTTGAATTTCATATATTTTTTCCATACAAAAACAAGTAATATACAAGTTAGAAAAAATTATATAGTATATAACAGTTTTCTTCGAAATCTAAATCTTTCTTAAAATTAATAACTGCGTTGGATACGACTTTACTTAATAAACACTTACAACCAGTCAAGAAAGTATCAGGAAGGCAGGTAAATTTTTTTTCCTAGGTTGGTACAACTGATGCGAATGGGTTTCCGCGAGAAATTTAAATTAAAAAGTCTTACTATTTTTTGTCATAATTCTACGAATTCTAATACAAATTATAAACAACATCGGGAGTGGTGTTAATTCGTAAATAGTAGCACACGGTGTTTGTTGTTGTATTATTATCAAAATAAACAATTTTTTGTATGTACTTATGGTACTTCGAATCGGCAGTTCGCTTGAAAAAACAGAACAGTTGTAAAATTAATTTCTAATTTGCCATTATTGATAATGCATTGTCTTCAATCGATGAAAGATACGATCAATTTCAATATTCATCTGTTAGTCAGCTGCAAGCTTTCCACGCATAACCATTTTTGAATATTGCAAAAACTTAGAACGATGGATTAACGGATTTAAGCAGCGAAGTACAAACTATTGACACAAAAATAGATCATATAAGTAAAAATAAATTTTTGATTATATTTCCTGAAGATAGACTGACAAGCTTGTCAACATTATCAACTGAAATCAAGTAAGAAAGGGCTAAGTTCGAATGTAACCGAACATTTTATACTCTTGCAAATTGCAAGAATCAAAGCCGCTGAAATTCCTTCAGTAGCCTACAAAACTTTATTTTAAACAAGAAAAGAAAAGCTAAGTTCGGTTATAACCGAACAATTCTTGCGACTCACCAGGATCCCCATATTGAGTACATAAGAACTTGAACAGTTTTGGTTCCATTTACGCAATTTTTAGTTATAAGGTGACACATCTCAAATGCACGCGCTTTAAGTTTTATCCTGATAAATTAATTCATTATTGATTTGTGTGCTGGAAACTGAAAATTTCAAATGGAATTTAAAATTGTGTTATAAAGGAAGTAGGTGTGGCTGTAGTCTGATTTCGTCCATTTTCACTCTATAACATAGAAATATCAGGGGAAAGTCATGTACCAAATATGGTTGAAATCGGTAAGACGGGTACGGAGATATGTGATTTAATCTAAAAGTGGACGATGCCAAGGCCTTTGTCCTATTTTTATCCCGGCTCCTACAAAGCTCTCTCAAACCATCTCGGAAGTAAAATTTAATCTATCTAGCATATTTGGTTATTAATTTATCGCCCTTTAGTAGTTTTTAACAGTACTGAAGCTACAACAACCGAACTCAAATATTGTAAGATCTCCTACCGACAATGTGAAATCGATTGATAACCCCATTCACTCCCCACATAAGGGAATTGTTTAAAACTACTTATAGCGCAATAAATGATTAACTAAAAACATTAAATTTTTACCACCAAGATGGTAACGGGCAGTTTTATAAGGTCCGGGTTCTTTTAGGTGAAATCACATACCTCGGGACTTGTTCAACCCATTTAAACTAAATTCGGTATATGACATTATTTTAGCATTAATATGTCACAGTGTGAAAAAGGGCGAAATCGGACTACTACCGCTCCTTCTTCTATATTGCGGTAAACACCGCTTCCGCGGTTATAGCCGAGTTTCTAACAGCGCGCCAATCCAATACATATATTTTATTAAGATAACTCATAATTTAACCGAGATAGTTATTCTGCATAGAGCTGACTAGATAAAGAAAGAAGATAAATCACTATATGTAGTAAGTAGTGCCGGGGTAATTCATGGATTGCTGTCATTCATATTGGAGGTGAAAGATGCAATTTGAATTTAAAATTGTGTTATATAGCTTATTATCCAATTTTTGTACAGATACCTCAAGTACCATATTTATAGTAAGATTTAATGCTTCTGAAGCTAGTTAACGCAATTTTAGTAGTTTTCAACACCTCTTTGTGTAGGATAATATTGCTTCTATTTAACTAAAGTGATATTTGTTTCTTAGCTTTCGGGTCAATGGTCCAAAAATTCATCGTAAGATGAACTTAGCGCAATATCCTGTTCGAAAGGTAGGAACTGTGGATGATCCATTGGCTGATCCTTACGATGACCCTTCGTATAGTTTTAACTTCCGATCAGGGCAACAATCGCGTACAGAGACCAGTGATTCCTCAGGTAGAACAAGAGGTATGTCTTTATTAGTAGAAATATGACAAAATATGATACTCATCAACGTTTTACTTGCAGGTCTCTATTCATACTTAGATGATGTCGGTGAACGTCATAATGTAAGGTATGCAGCGGGTGCAGGAACTGGGTATGAAGTCTTGAATTCTGTACCTGATAATCCAGTAAGTGTGGCATACGCTGCTCCTCTCTACAAGGCCCATCCCAAGGCGCGCGGAAAAATGACAACACAACGTGGGCCAAATGGTACTTATAAATTAATCGCTGCTGGACCTGATCATCGCCGTGCAGAAAGCCGAAGTCCAGATGGGTTTGTGAAAGGAACTTACTCATATCTTGATGATGCCGGTATTCAACGCACCGTTGAATATATTGCTGGACCTGGTATTGGATACAGGATTATAAAAAATCATATGGGTCCGGGATCACATATAAACCCATCAATAACTGAGTTTAGATTAACAGACACTGACTTTAAGCTTTCAAATGATTTTGGTGTAGGAGAAGGAGGAGGTAGTAGTATAGACGGTTTCGGTGCTGAAATTGTATCAAAAAAAGTTCCAAACAACATGAATGGTGATAGAAGAGTTGAAGACACACCGAAATATAATGCAAATGAATCAAAAATTAATAATAAAGATAATGTTGATTCTGTGCTTAAAGTTGGTATACGAAATCAGATGAAAAGTGATCGTATGGGCGCAGCTAGCAACAGCCGCGGAACTACCCGATATGGAATGATTGATGGCGAAAGGATGGGAGGAGGTTATGATTATAATTTGTCTCGCAAACAAAACGTCAGTCGGAATAATAATCCTAACAATAGTTCAAAAAATCGTGTAAGCTTTCACGATTCTGAACCAAACCTTACCTTATGGGGTAGCACCAGAAATAACAATCGTGATAATGCAGGTGTTAATATCGTAAAAGATTACAAATACGTTTTTCCACCTTCTTCATCAGACTTATTAGGCTTTAATGATGATGATCTGGTCTCATTACCACCTCTAATAACTAATAGCCACAAAATCTTGCAGTTGGAACGAGAAAAAGACTGGACTCAACGACATCGAGACTCCACTGTAATCCAAAATGTTGGAAAGTGGTATATTGGCCTTCCGCCAGGGCATAGTGTGCGAGCCCACGTTCAGAACATAGATTTGTTGCCACTTGGTGGAAGAAGAGTACCATCACCATCCGAAGCATTACGACAAGATGAAATTGCTGATATTATGACCTCGATGGAGAGTGGAGCTTCATACGGCAGTTAAACCCAGAAAACAGATCCAATAGCAGAGGGCAAATTTTGAAATACCTGAGCGCACTCATGAAAGTCGAAAATTTAATTAACGTCTCGTTGTAAACTGTTTTTAATATAAGAAATAATATTAATTTTTAAGCCCAATCGTGTCAACTAAACACTCACTCACAGTACTGTTCTGAATCCAGATAAATTATGGCCGGAAAACTCTGGATAATCTTTACTTATTTTCATTTAAGATTTGAAATGGCGGAGATATGTTATTAGGTGATCCAAAACAAATTTTTTTAAATTATTTATTGGCATATGTATATATTAATATGTCCACAAAACATTTAGAAGGCAAATGTATAACTAACCTTTTATTTTTTGTTAAGAGAACTTGTTTAAATAATAAATAAAAAATTGTATTCTAATCACCAACCCAGATGTAATTATATTTAAGATAAATTAGAAAATTATTAACAAAAAACAAAGTTATCTTAGAAGAGTGGTGCAAGAGGAGTCCTCATTCGAGTAGTTGATATACTATATATTGCACCTTGCCAAGGTTCACTGGAGGAAGTTATTGTTTCTATTGTTCCTTGGAGTACCAGTGGTTCCATGTTTCGTAGACTCTATCCTCTACGAGAATATCATATACTATACGATAGAGAATTTCTCTTGTAATACTATTGCCTTAGAGAGTATATACCGCCCACATAGAGTATGTGATAATATTAGGTAAATAAGCATGCGTGTTTATCTCTTGTAACTTTTTTTTGGTTTTTCTTCAGAATCATCGGACCTCAACCGCATTAAGCATTTATGGAAGCACCTGGACAGACAAATCAGAAAAAGGACAATCTGCTCAATGATGTTATTGCAGAAGAATGGCAAAAAAAATTTACGGGAAGTAACATGAAATCTGCTCAACACAATGCCGCGTAGTTTACAAGTAGTAATTAGAGCAAATAATAATTAAAAATGGTAAAGCTGAACCCAGGCTACTACCGGGATTACAGCTCCGTAGCCTCCGATCATGAGCCGCAGGAGAGGAGGGCTTCACTCAAAACGCCTCATGCACCCAATGAACCTCCGGCGAAGAGGCGAAAAGATGCTACCTTTAAACAAGGATCCATAACTCCCAACGGGGAGAACCTCCCCACAAGAAGAAGGCAACATGAGCGCCGAGGGAATGGCGATGAGCACCAAATGCGCACAGACATCGACGAAAATCTTGGGCAATCCCTTATCAAAATCAAAGCCGGTGGAATAAGAAGAAGGGACCTCAAAAAGCAAAGAACACCCACGCTAACGAAGGAACGGTGGAGAACAAAGAAAAGAAGAAAGGGAGAGAAACAAGCAAAGAATAATTGTAGCTGCAAGTCAGGGAGCATAATAGGCCCAAACGACTATCATAGACCATGATAATAAAGCCAGCAAAAGGCAATGGCAACGTCGAAGTCCTTAAGAATAGGTAAATTTCCGTAAAACAAGACCCGCGGCGCTATAATTAGAGCTGCAGAAGGGGCAGGCTACAAAATCCAGCTTCTGAGAGGCTATCTGCAATACCTATCTTTAAGAATCTGCGACCTTGAATCAAAGACTACTATAGAAATTAGAGACCTCTACTCTCCTACAACAAAAGAGGAAGTAGCAGGGGCTGTAAAAGAAACTCTACAGTACCTCATCAAAGACTCAACGGTAAACACAACAGCACCTAACACAAGAGAGTAGGTAAGGGCATATATAACGAACTGATGCGACAGGCACGCATTAAAATAAAGAAACCATATCTCTGGTTCCGCAAAATGTACCGTTTATAGGAATTGCCAAAATAAATAAATATACTACAAGCCAAATTGCATAGATCCAAGGTGTAATACTCTCGCAAATGGTGATGGAAACCTGCATGATTTAATCACCATAACAGAGTCCTATATGGTTACTCTGGCAGCGAGCATCGGTCCATTTATTTCACGATCGACACCGGAATAAACTCTAAACAGTACAGAAAAATATGACATTCGCATAGAAGTTCTTTTACTGTCTCCTCTTCTTTTAAGTCCTGACAGCTTCTGAAATAGTCTATGAATGGTGCACCTCGTCTGCTGTCATGTCTACCAATTAGACAATGGCCTGTTAGCATCCCTACTAGGGTTCCTACATCATTCCTTTTGAATTCCAATAACCGTAATATGTGGCTCATGCTCCATTTATGCCGTAAGCCACGGAATGACTCCACCGAAACTGTTGGACTATGTTCGTCCTATAAATATCTAGTATATGTGGCCAGAGGCATGCAAACCCTCTTTTTCTGGTAACTGTATGTTGGTCTCTGTTCTGACTAGTTGAACTCACTGCAGGTTTATCGAAATATGATGTTAGATACATGAAAAGGTCACGGCATTTTTTACTAAGTTTGACGAGACTTTAGGAGACTTCATAGTATCAATGCTGCTTGGCTATCCGTATATACATATATGTAAATATATTTATCAGAACGACAATGCTTTCTTTCATTGATGTGTTCTACGCTTAGAAGATTGGAGTGGTCTGATAAGCAGCAGGCGCTTTTGGTATCTAATTTTGCTGAAATGACATCACCTCCCACTCGATTCTGCTACTATCTTAATATATGCCCAATGGAGATGAGAGGATCGTTCTTCTTGTTGCCGGGCCACATAGCTAGGAGTAGTATTAGCGTTTCAATGGCGAGTGGAATAAATTGTTTATAGAAGTTTTTTATGGAAAATATCGTCTTAGCCTTTAAATCGCAGATGTAATCCTGAAGATAAGGTATCGCACAACTGTCTTGAATTGTGACGATGTTGAGTGCTCTGAAATCTTCAGAAGGCCGCCGTTTGCTTTCCTTATCCTGTCAGGAGGGCTAGCCCAACTGCTGTTTGGTGGACGGCAAATATCCAATTCATTTAGATTGTCAAATTCCGCTGCCAGTTTATTTGGAGAATATGAATCATGTTAATAAGGGCGGACTGCGAGTTTAAATGTGAGGAACCACTTTGGACATATGTAGCTACGATCCTACTCTAACCGTGATACGAACCGTCAAACCGCCAGTTGCGAACCAAACCTCAAATGACAAAAAAATCCAATACAATGTGTATCGTGTGTATCGTTCATATTGGTGGACTTATGCGAGGTACCATAGTCGAGTCCATGTGGAATTCAGGATGATGTACTTCAATTAGGCAGAATGATTTGCGGTTTTACCGCCTGGCGAACCTTGAGGGTTATGATGCTTGCGCAACCTTGTTGGGCCATCTGAAAATAGCTTTACAACATATACATATGTATATCAATATTTATTTATATGGGTCTATACCCTCTATGCAAATTATTAAAACGTTACCTTCAACTAACCGGGTTGACTTTAAGCTAACTATTTGATATATTTAGTAATAGCACATCTTAATAAAAAAAAGTTTGGCATCAATGAAAGTCGAACATTTAATTCAAAGACAATAATCTTCCGAAACGTTTTCGACATCTTTAATTCATAGAAATTTTTTGAATAACGATTATTTTGGTGGACTCAAACTTCGGATTTCATATATTTTCACAAAAAGTTTTGCAGTTATTGTTACGGTTAAAAGAGCCTTGAACCATTCTTTTTTTAATGACTCTTTTACAGAAATTCCTAACATGAACATTTAATATGGTCACATTTTGCTTTTACAAAAGCACTCAAACGATACGGTCATTGATCAAAGCAGAACGCACAGTTTCTATTGGCCCAACTTTTCTTGCTTTGCTTGACAGTTCATACTTTAACACGAAGCGAAGAAATCTGAGAGTATGGTATCGAACTCTGTTGTACCAAAAGTTTTCGTCTAAATAACTTTTAAATTCTTGACGACAAATAAAGAGATACGCTTTATCAATAGTGACGGAAACAAAACAGATCGCCGTACTAATTAATAATTTTTACCATTAAATGTAATGTCTCTGTAGCTATTAATTACAAATGGTCGCACTTTTATCTGTTTTGAAAATAATTTCCACCTGTGCGATAAACGTCTTTATTGCCAGAGAGTTTTTACACCATGTATGTTACCATTAGAATCTTGTTATCAAACTTAACTAGGCGACAATTTGTATTAATATCTACATATCTCTTAAATCCAGTGCTGACACCAAAAAGGCATTAACCAAATGTTTTGGTAGCTTTATGTGACATAAACTACTCAAATGTTTGTATATTTACATTTTACGCATTTTTATTCAGGGCATGCATCTCAGTAGCACTCAGGAAATTCGTATGTACATATAAAATAGTCTGACATGTTAGCCATTAACTGGTTTTTACCCGATGGTTTCACTGAACCGCTTTTAGATTTTGGATATGATTATCATACTTATCATTAATACCGTTGTTTTCCCTTCATATCATATAACAATGTAGATATAGCATTCGGCATTTTTACACCCTGAACACGGTGTATTCAGTTTAAAACAGCCAGAAGGAAACTTCAGACACGCTATAAATAAAGGATTAATATGATGAGATGAGAACGATTACTTTTTACTCAGTCTAAAAGATATAATGTCCTTGTATGGAAAACTTTATTTTTTGAAAAGATATGAAATAGATAAGGATTATTATCCAAGGCAAAGTTAAAATCTCCGAAGATTGTTTAAAACGGACAACTACAGCATGTATCTGCCATTCAAATATTTTAATGACATTTTAAATAAAAAGCATGTGATGGAATATGTTATGAACGCATTCAATTTCATTAACCTTGACTCGGCTGACGATAGCCTAATTTCATAAGTTTCTATTTAAGTAGCCCGATTGTTTAATAGTAACCATATGTGTACATCTTGTGCTGAGCAAATACTGAATTTCTCCTAAAGTAAACTAATTGATTATATTGATATATAGTACTGATATAGTATGTCGTTCTTGCTTTGAAATGATCAAAAACTTAAATTACTATAGTTTTACGTTTAACATTAGCTTTAACCTGTAAGGAAGGGATTAATACGGGCGAAACCCACATTAGATACCCTCGCAATTCGAAATAATTAAAAGCCTGGAAAATGTTCTGAAATGCTTCATATATATTTTCTCCTATTATTTATAATTGTAGGAATAAATATGTGCATACATACATACAAGTATATCAAGTAGGAAGGCGACATTGTACAAACCAAATTATAGTTTCTGGGAAAACGTTTTACGTATATTATTACATAGTTATGGAATTTTTCATACAAGTAATTTCGATTAGAACCATTATATGGGATCATCTGTTTTTACACAATAGCATGAAACTACGCAACAATTTATTTACTCGTAGTAGATGTTGAATGAGTTCTCGTTCATACTCAATCTCTAACTTTACTACTTTACTCTAGTTACTAAAGAATACATTCGCCAAGTATTTTCAATGTATGTACATAGTTAGCGAAATCATAACATACCCTATTCAAAATTCTACAAGAGTATACAAATTATAATAAATGTTATCAATTTGGTTTTAACTTGTAATTAATCACATTTAAACAAAGAAAGAGCAGTGATAAAAATAGTAAAAGTATATCCATCTTATGATTTACATACGAGTAATATTCACTTGAGAAACTTATTACACCAGGCGGCACGAATTTCGCGTCTGACTTATGCATGATAAATTTAAGTTTCTCCCACTCCAAAAATAAGGGAAACATTTATTTTATTAAAGTTTGCTCTGGCAAACTTTAAGAGCTAAATATGAATATTCCTGGACTTTTAATGTCTAGAATCTAAAAATTGTTACCGGGTGCTTATTTTTTATTTACTGAATGAGCACACATATTTACACATATGTATTATGGGAAATGAAAAGATGCCTCAAAAGCACAATTTAATTCAATTCACGTATCAAACGGAGAAATTTTTAAAATCTAGCAATTCTGGAGCTTTGAAAAATATAGTTATACATAACTTGAAAGTTTTTAATGATTAACACCATGTCATAATCGAGATACATATGTATATTATATAAATTATTTTTATTCCATATTTCTCTCTGCCAGGTAAGTTATAAAGTTCTTGGTTGGAAGTTTTTTATTTGTTATAGTTTCGGCTTGGCTTCAAATAAGAACTTAAGTTGGTGAAAGCTCAATGATGTGTACATATATGTAAGTATAACGGCTCAATTTCAATAGCTACAACATTTACCTTAACCTGTATTTTTATGGCCTATTTTAGCATCCTGCATTCCTTCTCGTAAATTTGAACATATAGCATACAAATTTATTATTAGCTTGAGCAATACTCTAGGGAAAATTCACGAATTCCGAGCAAATAACTTGTGTTAAAACCAACTCCACTACTACATTTGCACATGAAGGTCACATTTAATAATAGGCAACAACGGACACAAAGTAAAACGAAAACAACTGCCTTTGCACCTTTACGCGTACGCTAGTACGTGTGTGTTTTGTATTAACAGCATTTGGCATGTCCAGAGAAGCACTCCGATTTGTTTTTATACACATATTGCGTACTTGTATATGGTATAAGCATTCAATAAAAATAGCACTGCACCAACGACATATTTATAGGCGAACTTACGCAACAATGTAAATGTCAAGGTCTCTATATCCTCATAGTAAAAGTGTCAACTCGAGCGGAGTGCCAGAGGTAGTGTTGCATTAGGCCAGGTAAATTGTTATTACTGTCAGGACAACTTTGGCAATTTTACTAGTGTTATTTTTATTTAAAATATCTAAATTTACTTATTTACTTCTAAAACTTGTAGAGACATGTAATAAGCTTTAATATGCAGCTGTGGCATGCAAATTACCAAAAACAGTAGGTCAAACAAGCTTTCTCTTAAATTGTCTCTTTCTCTTCATTAACAACGCTCTTCCGTTCGTGGTTATTCATATGTATACATGTGTGTATAGAAGAATATTTATCAGAACGAAATGTTGAAAAATAAAGAATTGTTAAAGTAAAAGCTGCAGCAGTTTCGTTGAACTCAGAGGTGGATAGCTTTTGCTATGGCTCCGGGACACATCGGAATAATATCAGGCAGTAAAATGATATAAACATGCTTTGATAGTTGCGCAGACGCGCAGTTCGCGTTGAGAGGCGATCGAATTTGGTTGTAGTATATGGTAGTCTAGACTTTAGCAGTGTGACCAGCTTTATTATTTACTTCCTTCGACTTCTACGTTTTTGTGTAGCTGCATTCAACATCAGCTCAACGATTTAAGTCTTTCAGCACATTTAAATCGTCAATTTTTCCTGTGACAATTTATTGTCGCTACGAAATAATAAAAGGGATTGCAATACATCATGATTCTACCGATTGTAAGTAATAATATATATTCAATGTATACATGTATAGTATATGTATATTGTGACCGATGTTGCATTTAAATATTAATACACTAGAAGACTGTTATGGGGAAGAGCAAACATATTTACATCTTCGTTGGGGGTCATTAACTTTTGCTTTAAGCTGCTTAAATTTCGTTTGCTTTGATGAGCAAAGAACTATTTTGTGCCTAACAGGTTTGCTTTTAAAGTTTCATTATAAAAAAGCGATTCAGCATATGTGACCTATTTAATAAAAAATATATGTCACAATAAGTTATTCTAATTGACTTTCACTTATCTGGAAACAATATTTTTTGATACATTTTCGTGAATGGTGTTGTGAAACTAAAAAACAATGAAGATGAAAGCAAACATAAAGAAATATCTCTGGTTTAAGTTTAAAGATGACAATGAAATTCATGAACGAGAACGTATCAACTTAAGAAAGAGCCCAATAGTTGGAAACTGAAAATTATTTTACCCCGTAACTTGCACATCACATAATGGTTATTGAATAATACTATTGTATTTCAACGTTTGCATTAATAACCAAAAATATAAAGAATTAAATTCTTAATCATAAATGGATATATAAACATACGATTTAATATTATTTCTCATTAATAATTCCAAAACCATGCTTATTGTCTTCTTTTATGTGGGAAGTCGTAGTGAATGCCTTCACGTTGACAAAGTTGTGCAGGTTGAATATTCATTAATCTGATAGACTTATGTAGGAAGGGTTCTTTGCTGCTAAACAGGCTTTATGAAAATCTACATAATAACTATGTATTATTATTATTTATTTAAAAATAGCATTCATACATACTGAAAGACAGCTTTATATCTCAAAAAACGAACCCTTTTTATTTTGATTAAATTCAAAATTCACTCTCAAAAAAGAAGTGAATGCAGTAAAATGAATCGATTACATTGTGACCGATTGAAAAGTAATTCTGGGCGTTTCCAAAAAAAAAATATTTAAAGAGAAATCGCAAATAAATAACCGTAATAATTTATTTCACTTCTTCGTAATTGGGACAGGCTTAACTTATTTCCTAAGGTTATAATAAGCTTTCTATAATATAGAATCAACTCATGAATAGTTGAATTTGCAGCCAGAGGCATTATCTTTTAAAGTCATTGGGCTTACACATATCTTTCATCTTACTGTTTCGCTAAGCTGTCCACAAGAAATATTCACTGGAACATAACATTTAAATATTTATCTTTATGCTAGGCTTTATATTCTTATTGTCTTTTAATTTTATTTCATTCCGTTTATTTACAGAATTTGCTGAATAATCTCGTTCACAAATGAATGTTCATTAGGGTTTTGCAACTCAAATTGAAAAAAAAAATTTAACACTTATTTATGAGTATTTTTTATTTCCAAATTGTCAGTGTGAACACCTGGTTTTACATTCAGTCAGTACAAAGAAACCACACTATGAATGGTTCTTGGCAACTTTTAATGGATTTTAAATTTGTATGCTAATTTCTAAAGGTTAAAAGCAAGTGCGACATCAGTTATTTTAAGAAGAATAACTAATAAGCACCAGTGCGAGTTTACAAATTTTGATAACTAAAATATTTTTAAACAGAGTTAATGCTGAATATTCCTTCTAGAATGTTGAATGTCCTTGCAGTCTTAAACAAATGTGACGAAAAATTACTCTTGCCCTCTTTAACACCAGGCCCATTCGTTCTTTATCTATTTAATATAAATAAAGAAGAACTTAAGTCCTTTCTTTAGTCTGATTGCGACACATTTTGTAGCTCTTAAAAGTATAGTACTGGAGTTGCTTTGCACACTCTAGTTAATTGAAAACTTCCTTTGCTAAAAGTTACACTGCTGAAGAACACTCAGTTGTTGTTGGTGTTCTTTAATCGTTCATATATAGTAGCCTGTTCTATAAAATAACTTATTCACTAATTGTGATATTTATCGAGCATCTTTCGGAACATTATTTCAAGTAGCGAACCTGTTCGCTGACTGTTGAGACTGTAGTTTTTCTGTATTTGCTGGACTTGCACTCTTTACTACCCAAAAGTGCATGGGTATCATATCTGCAACGAGATAATAATTGTAATTATAGGCCTTCGGATTGTGCAACACTGCACTTTTTTCTTTCATTTATCACAACGAGATCGATACGAGCCTCGCTTTCAGAAAAAGCCTTATCTTCCATCAATGAAATAATTTTTTTTTTTGCTGAATTTGAGTCACCTCTAACTAAGCTCTTAGTAAACCAATATGATGCTTATATACCATATGTACATGCAAGTATACATCTGTGGGCATATGCTAAAGATATGCACATCATACTTATGTGTTCTGGAAGTATTCTACAATTGGGAGTTTTATTTACATTGTAACCGCAACTTCTTGCTTATCTTTAATTTTGGAAAAAACAAACAATGTTGTCAGCATTTTTCTAGATTTAGAAAAAATTTAAAACAAATATTATATTATTTGAATTTAATTAAAAAAAAGAAAACTTAGGAAAAGAGGTCTCACTAGCTTAAAAATAGCATTTAGATATTACATGGGACGTATAGAAGTGTCGGTCAGTCTTATTATCTTGCTGCTATTAAGTACATTACGAATAATTTTCGTTCTAGTAAATATGTATGTTTATACTCTTGCAATATTTGCAGTTATGTATATATATATATATATATATATATAAATGATAAGGATGAAATCCGGGGGAGTCTATGTCAGGCGGTATGCTATAATTTGAGTACAAAATGTGATTTCTTTACAAATGGTACTATTAGAAGTCCACAAAATGTCATTCACCGAAACCCTATTAAACGCCACAACTGAACCGAAGTGAGCCCCTGAACTCCAATATCTTAATTCAATACAGTGAATATAACTCCGCCACCACTAAGTTTCAGATACATATCTCATAACAACTAAAGCTAAATTGACTGAAATAGGTCGAGACAAACATTTTTTGCTCATATTGCGCTTTTTGTTCTTAAAAAAACTGTCTCAAAACAGCACAAATTAATAATAATTAATTTAATGGCAAATTAAAAATTGTACATTTTTTTTATACGTTTTATAAAATTTTGTCCATTTATCACAGATAATTTGAACGAAATGTTACCGAAATTGTGCCCGTGTCCGGTCATTGGAACATACTCATCTCCGGTTATAGAAATTGTTTTTGTATAAAAATATTAATGAAAACGTTGTGTTCATGAAATTTGTTTAGTTATGGGAGCTGTCCAGTTGGGAATTTTTACTTTGTAATGAATTTGGTAAAACTCGTAAAAAACACCTTTAAACATTTGCGAATGCGAAGAAAAGTATAATCAATATTTTGTATGTCACCTCCGGAATTTATAAATTATTTCAATTTCCATCCCGATTTAAAGCGTTTATGGTATCTCAGAGAATATGTGTGATATTTTAAGGGAATTCAGTGGACAATTTACTTAAAAATTTGCTTTATCATTAAATATGAAATAAATGGGCATAGACCTCATTTCTCTGATATACTGATCTTCATTTCATGTTTGATTTCTTCTTCATATAGTCCCCATATGGTAAATGTACATGTATCTCATTTGAGTTGATTAACTTGTTTAAGTATAATTATATTTTTGTTTTAACAAGTTTTTATAAAAACACTCTATTTCTTAAACTCTATTATCATCTTGTGTACGTTGCATTCAGAATACATTTATTGCTAGAGCAATATTCCTTTTAGAAATGGAATTGATAATTTCTGCATTTGCATTCATACTTGAAATTTAGTGTAAGTTACTGTGAAATATTTTGATTCTATAATTCTATACATTCTGATTTACACTGGTTATTACAATATAATTTATATCTTTTTAAAATAAAAATATTTATAATTATTGAATAACAATACTACGAAATATTTCTTTAAAGTCTTACAAAAGAAAAAAGATAAATATTATAAACATTTTTCTTGATTATTAATGTATTGCTGAATTGAAACCCATTTTCCAAACTTTGATCTGTGCAAAAGCATCAACTATAATCACCAGTATGTTTCACCATTAATTTATTCCCAAGATTTAATGAACTGCTTTCCTCCCATATCTTGAATAAATACTGCCAAAAACGATGGATTTGTACCATTGATTCCAAAAGTTTCCTACTTGCAGTATTAAAACGACCTGAAATACCATTTCAAATAATAACCAGAATTGTTGCAAGTTTTAAATACCTTATAATTTTCGTAAGCTGATCGGCATGTGCAAAATCAGGCGTAGAATCCACCATTACACCAAAATGCTTAGCAATCGCTTAACTGCTTTGGAAATACGTTGGAATACTTTCTTTTGAATCACTAATATAATTTGTTGTTTTATCTTCTTAAACATGCGTAGAATTTTTGAAATCCGTAATTTCACTCTGTGATACACCGTTCAAACTATTTGTCAACTTTTTTCTTTTATCGTCGCCGCCCTTGACCCCGGCCTCACAGGCCTAAGCTGTAATCTTTTACTGACAGTGTTTGCTAAAGTTTCTATAACTTTCTTAAGGCCATGTTAATAAAATTCATCATTTGACAATCTATGTATGTATAAATACCACATGTCTCCCAAATTTCATTTTCATTTCATGACATTTCTTTATGAATTCGCCGCTTAAATACCTAAATTAGTTGTCATTCAAAATGAGTAGCCCTATCCAAAATTTCATGTACACTTTCTGTAAAGCTGCAGAAAAAATATCCGAAGTTATATCGCAACGAATATTCTGATTAAATTTATTAATAACAGTTAATTGTAATACATAACTCATTTTGTTATAAACGCGTATGTATTGAAATGTTTTATTTTTAGTGTTTTTTAACGATATTCATTGTTAAACTGGATTGCGTTTATCCTCATCCGGTGCAAATCAGTGACGAGGTTATCGAGTAAGTAGAACTATATAAATTTAACTATTGAAAACTTAGTAATTAGCTTGAAGCTTGCTTCTATGCTTTTTAAAGTAACACCAACTCAAAAGTCCTTTGCGCGTTATTACTTCTTAGAGGTTTTTATTAAAATATTTTATTTTTCAAAATATGACTATAATAATTTCATTGAATCATCTAAGTGACTAAACCATTTAAATTCTCTTTGATGAAATAATCATTTATCATAACACCAAATCTCCTACCATCCATCACACTTTTGTTTAAATTATTAATACTTATATACCGTCATGAAACTGAAAAAAGTTAGAATCCATCTCAGGTCTTTAGTATTCATATGACCCCTGCATTACTTGAAATTCTCGTTTGCAGAATCGAAAAACAAAGGCTAGTCAAATTTCCAGATGAAATTGAACTTCGACAAGATTCTACAGCCAACAGTTCCGATTCAAAAATTGATGAAGCTCAGCGCATCCTACAGGAAATTGAAAAAATTAATCATGCATTGGGATATATTCGCAAACAATCAGAGCCACCTAAGCTTCCGCCTATTTTAGATTCGAGTCAGTACTTATTCCCAAAGCCAGCTTCGCAACATTTTCATCAGCACAACCATCAAACTTCTGGTATGAATGGAGGTACCATTTTAATTCCTTCTATTAGATCAGTAGACCTTCCGCGTCAATATATAACATCTTACTCAATATCCAAAGACATGAAGAATATTGAACCTTTACATCAATTTCAAACCGCTAAAGACAATTCAACAAAAAAGACTAAATATGTTTTGCAAACAAATGAAGAAGTATTACCTTCCTCTCACACTGTGGATGAGCACCGGCAACTGCCTACACATTTTGCAATACCAGTGCGTCTCTACCGACTTAATAAGGAGGAATATATTAATAAAAATGCACCACAGCAATTCCGTGTCAAAGGATATAAAATAGTTGGTGATGTTGACAATTTTTATGGCAAGGCAAAGCGAAAAGTTATAAAAACAAATGAAGCAAAGGCTGATTTATCGACAAAATATCATCTATTTTTCCTTCCACGTGAGTTTGCTTCGCTCAAGGAACTCTCTCGCATGAGATTGGAAGAGAGACAAAGTTCACATGATAATAATTCTAGAGAAGAGAAAGGAGTCGGTATTCAAAGGCCCTATAGAATACAAACAACAGCAACAAGTAGTAGCACCGATATTAGCTCTAATGCAAATGTTACAACACAAATTATTCGAAAACGGGTTATACCAAAGCCATTAAGGGAAAGAGATTCCATTATTATTGAAGCGGCAGAACTAACTCAAGTAGAAGATACTAACTCATTCAATACTAATAACAATGCAAATACGAATAATGATATGAATCCCAATAATAATCCAACAATATATAACAACCCTAGTCAAAACACGAATCTATTCAATGCAAGGCCTGGTATTTTGAAATTCCCCAACATTGCAAACATTGCCCGGCCAAGTGATCAAAAAAACTCTACTCCTGGAAATACTATTAAAAACGCTTTTCAAAATATTTTTAAATTGCCATTTCTTCAGGATAACAAACCGAATATGACAATGGGCGAGTTAGGGCAAACTCTACAAATGACCGCAAAACCATTTTTTACAACACAAGCCAATCAGCATACACAAACATTTTACGATTTTGTTGGTTCAAAACAACCCCAAAAAGGAAGTGATTACCAATGGGAGGATGAAGCCAGTAGCGCGTCAGAAGATGAAGAAATTAATTCCACTGAACACGAACAAAAACACATATTCGGCAATCAGCAGAATGGGGAGCTAAAAACTCAAATGGAGGCCGTTAAACATGGTGGTATTATAATTCAACGCCTCAAGGTACGAAAAGGTGGTATTGCTATTGCAGGCCCTGGTGGTGTAGCGACTGCAGGGAGCGGCGGCACTGCTATTGTTGGACCCGGAGGCTATGCTCTTACACATCCTCGTAGTTTAACCATTGCTGGGCCGGGTGCTAAGGTGATCGCCATACCTTCCAGCGTTGACCTAAAGGAAGCTTTGCAAAGAACTAATCTGTTCGATCAAATTATTCCTCGTGAGGGCAAAGTTGTTGCTACTGGTCCAACTGTGTATTATTCTCCACCAACATAAATTCACAAAAGATATGAGAATGATTACAAATTAAAAACTTACAGAACTAAATATTGAATATAACTATAGCAATAATTTAGACAATGTGGTTAAATGAATTTTATATTATTTGAGATTATTCATCTTAATATTCATAATTCGTATTATATTAGACTAAATATCAATAAATCAAAATATTATATACTTAATACATAAATAAATACTATAGTCATGTCGCTACAATTTCATCTTAACTCAAGTTCAATCCTTCATAATTACTGATTATTGGGTGTCGAAGCCAATTATTAAGTATAGCATGCCAATCATAGTGATTAAATTAGTTTATAATTTGATTGTATAAAATTATCACATAATTCACATTTCGTTTTATTTGTACTTTTCTCCCGTCTCATATTCTTCAACTGCATTAAATGTTTATCTACCTTTTGTTGTGGAATTCCTACCAATTAACTTAAAGCGACAGCGACGTTTGGAAAATATTTAAGACAAAAATGTGGCCACGGAACACACAGTATTCTGCATTTTTTGTAAGAAATTTATTTGCACAACCTCCGGTTACTGACACGTTACTCTCAAACACAAATAAAGTCGTTGAACCGAAGGATATACCCAAATTCAACTCACAACCACAACAATTGATGCCCTTTGTTATTACAGATCTCAAATTGATCGATGAATCTCATCATACTATTGTTAACACAAAGGATTTTAAAAGTGATGCTCGTCTTTTAGAAGCAGTTAAGCAAATAAATCCGGAATTTATGATTGAGGAAATAGTATCGGTACCTGGCCGACTTACACAAAGTGCGGTAAAGTTAGAAAAAAAGTCGAAACCAGTCAACTTGTATCTATCTTCTACTACGTCTCCAAAACTAGTATCAAAAAGCTTAAATTTCACATCAAAAGCAACTTTAGCCAATTCAGGTGTTTCTAATTCAAAACAAAAATATAGACCGAAGTTGAGCAAGCAAACAAGTGAATCCACTGAACTAAAAACCAACGATAGCATAGCGAAAGTGGAAGCAACAGGTCAAACTGCTTCTTCAGGAATCATACCCCAAATACCATTCGGTAGCTACTTTCTTCCATACTTAGCAAACGATAAACGGGGTGTCAGCAAAACGGCTGCATTAATATTGGAACCTCATGCAAAAGCCGTAGTGGGCAATGGTGGCACAGCTGTGTCTGCACCCATTTCGAAGGCTTTTTTAAAACGTGGGATACCCACCAACGTCTATTTCAATCCAGAATCGGTAGCAATAGCTGGAGTAGGTGGCAAAGCACATGCTCAGGCCGATTTAGAACTTGATTTAGTGGATTAATATTTTTATTTTATCTGAAATGCAGTACAATGTAAATAATTGTATATAAAATGTATGTAAAAAATTTACCGCAAACATGTATAATCATATTAAACTAGTATATATTAATGAATTGATTAGTAAACTTTTACATCCGAATTTCATTTTAAGCCCTCAGAACTTTCCTCTAGAACGCTTTTACGCTTGTGGCTTTATAGTTTAAAATATTACTTCGTGGTTTATATTGATAACTTTATAATTCCTTAAACGAAAATAGCCAGAACGCCCACAATCACAATCCTTCAATTCCCAAAGAATATTCATATCCTTACTATGGCGGCCTGCGTGGTCAAATCTTGCAAGTGGTTAAAACAAAAGATGGAGAGGACAATATGTTTATAATAAGCCCTACATCTATCCCTACTGCCAGCGTCAAATCTATTAACAGCAACAAAGGTAGTGTTTCAACATCGGAAGACGATGGTCATCTTAACAACAAATCGAGAACGTCGATTGCATTTGAACAAGATTTTAACCGAATACAGATAGCAGCGGCTCGTCTAGTCGCTATTCAAGAAGTTGCAAAGCGTAAGGGTTCATTTAGTGCGGAAGACAATCGTATTTATGCGGAGAGTTTACTGGAATTGGGGCATGCCGCACAGAACTTAGCAAATTTGCATGAAACCGGCCAAATTAATGATTTTAGTCTACTCCTTCAACCCGATTTTCAATTAGCGGATAAGAAACCGCTAGTGCCACCGGAATCAATAGCTGAAATTGAAACTTCCGGTGGGGAACAAAAAGTTGACGAAGTTACAGAGCAACTGTTCAATGAAGAAGATCTTCTGCCTCCAAATATAGAGGATCCTTATGAGGACGTCAGTGATACAGTAGCAGTGACTGCACCGAAAAAAGACGCTTCTGTTGCTGAAGCTAAACCAATAGGTAAGTTTAGTATTGTACAATGATCCGCTCGAGTGTTGTACCAGCTTAGTGAATAATCTAATATATTTAATTATAATGTAGGACTATCTATTGCCGGCGAAGGTGGTGTTGCTTCATCTAAACCCAATGCCATAGCGCTTTCTGGACGCAATGGCCTAGCAGTTTCCGCGCCTAAGGCGACTGCTATTGCAGGTGTATCAGCAGAAGAGGCAGCTGCCTTTAGCGTAGCAATACCCAATAGAAATAATCTGGTCATAAAAAACGTCAATCACACACCACAACGACCTGTTTATGATGACTACATCGAAGACTACAGTGACGTTTTACCTCCACGTTCGACATTTACTCGTGATACAATGGTCACACATGGTTCACCTATTCCTGTTATGAGTAAAAACACAAATCTGGCGAGTATAACCGAAACTGGCAGCGAAGCTGCATTCGCTGATTCTTTAGTTAAACAATGGAAGACTATAATAGCCGAGGATTATTCCGCATCAGCACGAAGTGCTCCCAAACTGACACCAACAAGATATATTAAAGAAGTGAGCAAATTTCCACAAAGATCAATTGATAAAAAGGCCCACTATTAATATTTACGCTTACGTTTATATGTGAAATAGAATTTTGTATTAATCTACATATATTTTCACCTATAACGAAATAAAAGTTAATCATAAAAAATTGCTTTAGTTTTCCTTTAGTTGACAGCGCAAAAACGATTTTTCAGGCTTATTGTCCAAAATGTTGATGGTACACTCAAAATATCTGTTATCTATAGACTTGGAACTCAGTATAATGGCTTTAGCCTTTAATATATTGTTTAGTCGTCTTTAAGGGAAAACGTATCACTATGAAACAACGTAGAAAATGTTTACGTAGGTATAAATGTCAACAGGATTGCAGATTCTGGCAACACTACTAACTAAATAAAAATTCACCACACCCATTCAATAAGCTTTGATACAAGTTTCACCCGAAAGCTTGCATTTAAAAACTCAACCCGTTAATTTGAAACAAATTGCGTAAAGATAGCTTTATTTATTAAATTCATATATATAATTAATCATTAAACCTTAAATTAAATTATTCATAATAATCTAAGAAATTACTTAAGTTTTTTATTTAAATATGACCATTATTTATATAATGTATTCGTATGTATGATCTACAATCCATATTTCCGCCCTACCTCAATAGTAAACCATACTTTGGGCTACTATTATATTAAGGAAGCCACATACTTATGTATATTCAATGTTCTTCGATTAACCGGTTATTGAATTGTTTAGTACATGCAAAAGAAAACTTCATAAAGCTGAAAATAGAGCAGGCTTAACACAAATCTTATGTCGTTACTAATATCTGCCATACGAAATGAAGAAGTGTTGTTTTAATGTGTATTCCTTTGCTGTTCTGATGTTTTTAAGAAGGGTTAAAGCTATGCTTACTATTAGGCTCTAACTAAATTGTATGTATGCTATGCGAGTGCGTATGTGAACCAATACATTCCTATGGTTAGATACATCTGTGGCGAGAAATGCATCAAGGAAACGTTATAAAAGATCCTCCGCATCTGCAGTGGTCATCAGTTTCATATTGACTTCTTATGGTAACAATTTAAAATTGTAGAGGAAAACAATAGTTTGCCTGTATTTAATCAAGAACTTATAATAAATACAGTGTGAAAATATAAAAAACAACATCCAGCACAAAGAAGAAAAACAAAAGTAAGTTAACAAAATTAATATTTTACAGATAATTTCATATTGGCATAAATACAGCAACCGTAATGTGTACATGGAAGTATTGTCATGTTGTTATATTAAATTTTATCAATCTAAGGTATTTTATAATATTTTTATATACATTTTAGACAATATTTCAAAAATCACTGAATGTTTTCAAAATCAAAATCGCAACCAAACAAACAATTCCATTTTGAAATTAAATAAATAAAATAAAAAAATTATGTGTTCTTTAATAATATTTCCTACCATTAACAATTAAGCAAAAGAAAGAAAAAGTTGTTCAACCAAATTATAAGTTCACAATTTATTATTTTCTTACGATCCTAATCTATTCTCTCATAACGTAATGTATAAGTTTGTTTCATAATAAAGCTTTATGATTTATATATGTAAACCATTGTAAATATTAAAACTAAATTCCAAAAAAACATAAGACGGGAAAACGAAATTACTATTAAAAATTAAAAAAATGATATTCACTCATATTGCTGGGATTTTTGCCTTTTAAATGAAAAATATAGTTAGCACAATGTACTTATTTACAATAACCGGTCAACAACTTACACTGTATATACGTATTTAAAAATTGATCCTGCCACAGCTTACCTAAGCCACTCTTTGGCTATGCATTGAACTACGTCTAAAAATAAATTCCGGATTGGCCAGCAGAACTGCCTTGACCAGAACTTGTAGCTTCGATTTTAAAACCAGAAAATGAATTCTGCATACTTGAGTAGCACATAGTGCATATATAATAAAGTCATTATATAACACATATATGTATAAATAAATGAATGTATGTATGTATATAGAAAATGTTTACATATGTAAGTTCTCAGTAATTATTTGAATAGCTAATAGTCCTTACATATCCATATAGTATGTATATTAACAAATGTGCATAGATACAATGTGTATTATTAACAAATATTTCCTTTCAGATGCTGAATTACTTTCTGCTGTGCTCTTGCATTGTTCCTGCTTTGTTAGGTGCACCGATTCCAATAGGGCAAAACGATATTGCTTCCCATATTGTTATTGTTACACCTCAAGCTCAAGTTCATCTGGAACCGGCAATTAAGTACGATACTGCTGCATTTATTCATCATCTCTCCCCATTAGCTCGCATCTCATCTCCAAATGATGAGACTATTTTCTACGTTCCAGCTAATACTGCTGCTCCAATTATTCCCATTGAAAACATAAGCGTAGGACGTGCGAATCTCAAAGAACAACCACAGAAACTAGAAACAAAACAATGGGATCAGATTTCGCAGCAAATTCAACAAGCTGTGCAAACTGGTTCATCTCAGTTAGGACCACAGTTAAGTGAAGCAGCAAGCGCAGCCTCCAGCGCTGCCGCAGCTGCCGGCCAAGGTCTATTTCCCGCCTTATTTCCTCCAGGCGGTAGTTCATCATCCAACATTGCAAATAAGAATGATAACCCCACAATCGAATCTTTATTAGCCAGCAATGCCCGTGTTTATGCACTTACTCCGGCTGTATCCCATGTTGTCGATTTTATTCACTCACCCTTATTCATCGCACCAATTTCAGCTATACGAACACGCAGTATACAAGAAGGTGAAACCCGGACTCAATCACCCGAAGCATCAGTGCTTGGAACTAAACCTCTAAATGAAATACCCTTCAATGCCAATATAAAAACTTCTGATGACGTTAAAAAAATTAAGCCACAACAAGAACTTAAAGGCAATTTAGAGAAGAGCAAATTCGATGATAATTATAATAATGAACAAAGTAAGTGCACATATATGAACAACTTTATTTTGTTTCTTTACGTGTTTATAACAGAGCTATTAAATTTATATTACGATTATTATATTTCATATATTCGATTAACATAACGTTTAATTCAGTTCCTCTCCATAACCAAGAAATTTATAAAAATTTGTCATAAAATTTATTTTTTCTACTATTTATTGGAAATATACATAAATAAGTTTTATGACTATTTAAAATAAACAAATTTAATCAACAATAATTTTAATATTTTTGATCACACTTTAATGAGCTTTGGTCGGATTTCCATAATACAACATAATTATATATGTACATACATATGTATATATGTGTACATATGTACATAGGGATATTAGTTGTGTTGTGTATTATCGGAATCATTATAAAAACTAATCGAACAAATTTTTAAAGGATAACTAACTATTGAGTTTTATTAAAGGCGATCGTATTATGTTTTTAATTTCTTGATCATATATCATTAACATATAAAAAGTAGATCCTTAGAAAGCTAAATAAGCTCCTTTGTTTTTTCAGAGGAACAACGTTTTGGTAATATATTACCACAGCCATTAAAGGAGGAAGTTAATCAACATCAATTTATGCAACTTAAAAATTCCGGTTTTCTTGATGGTAATGAAGGAATTCGTGAAAAAGTTTCTAAGCCATTAAACTCTAAGGGAGCTTAAAATAAAATGGCTGGTATGACATACATAAATAAACATTAAAGGGTATATAGAGCTAAGACATTTTTAATAACACAATGAATTTTATAATTTACCTTACTAACACCCAAAAGTACACTTGATTATGAAAAATTTAAATAAGTAAATATTTTAATATTGAAAATGTATACATTCAGATACATACATACATATATGTATTACTATCAACAAAATCATCTGTACTTTTATCATCAAAAAAATAAAAACAACAGTCGATACATCTTTGAAACACACATATGTATGTATGTATAAAACGATTTTTTTATATTATTTTTATAGATAACGGTATGAAATACTTATCATACATACATACATACATACATATATGTATTTGTTTTTAATGCACAAACAGTATAAGTATACATATGTAAGTATAGTATGTTATTGCGCAATTTTAAATATGTAATTAAAATTGTAGGTCTCAGTCACGATCTTTCACGCTATCGTCTTCATTGAATCGTGGTAAGTATATACATACATACATACTTAAATATCTATTTATTTATTTGTATAACCATATACATATGGACAAGTTCACTAGAGATACAAATGAGCCACACAACGGTATGGATATATAGCGTACTAAATAACATTTGTTGACATTGTTTTCGAAAGTACAGACGCCTTTGAACAAAAAGTAATCTATTACACAATATTAAGCGACAAGGCACTACTAATTAAATCAATATTTTCATCCTTGTTGATATTTTATTTTTGTATTATAAGTCTAAATTATGATGTTATATACTATACATACATACTTATATCACTAATATTCAGTCTTCGGTCATAACTTTGTAATCGTCATCATATTCGCCTATTGCGATAAACTCTATCAAGTCAGCATTATTTTCTTGCACAGTCGATTCATCCTTTAAGCTATTTAGAGGTTGTGTTAAATTTCTGATTCCTTCTTTTACCGATGTAGTATCCAAAGAGGAAAGGTTTTCTTTTGTTACCACATCGTTTGCAGCTATGCTGCCTAGAGAAATTGTGGAACTTCCTACTTCACTAGTGTCAGTGTACTTATAAACTGAAAAATATGTTTGGATACGTTGAATGATGCGCTCCAGAAATGGCGGAAATTTGTGTTCGGTGCCTTCACCATATATTTTGATGATCCATTTATTATTACTGGTAGCTTGTTGTAGATTTAATCTTACGGTATCAAAAACAGACTTATGCAGTAAGAGATGTTGCGGATTAGTACTATTCTGTGATCTACTTGGCAGGATCAAAGTTACATTAGGTAAAGATTGTATGTAGCCAAACTGTTTTCCACTCCCGATGCTCCCAGTGGCAAGATCAAAAGGATCCGTTTTCTCTGATTTATATGATGCACTCCATAACAAAGGTAGTATCCGCGCCTGTGTAGTGGTCTTACCAAATATAATAACACAACAAATAAAACTCAAAAATAAAAAGCTCGAAAGTGTTTTGGTACTACCGTGAAATTTGATCATATTAAAAGAGGTATTTGAATTGCTGCTTTACACTAAAGCAATTATCTAATTTGTACCGTCCTCGTTTGCTTCAATAAACTAACTGTTAGTTTATCGGCTTGCGGACTAGTCTTTCGCATAAGTCGCATGATGTCGCTTTGAGTTACCAACAAAATGCACGCGACCAGCATTTGTAATTGGTATCGTCTGCAATTCGGCCTTCAAGTCTGTACAATTTATTTGAATCTTTCAAACTCCAGTATTAGTCGGTACTCTCCAAAAAACAGTTTATATTATCACTTGTAATGTTTTTGATAGTGTACTCAGGTGATATAATGTACATACATACGTAAAAGCAAATACATCTCACTTTTGGTGTACTCAACTTAGCCGGACACAGTCGAAGGTGGTGGTGAAAGTGAAAAAATTATAAATAAATACATACATATGTATGTATCTATGTACATACATCAGTATGTAAAACTGGTTAAAAATCGGCAATTTTTTTCGAAGAAACTCTTATTAAAATAAAAATGAAATTGTTTCTAAAATGACGATGATTAAAGAAGGCATTACTATATAACATGCTTTAAGTTTCTGAATATACATATATACATATATGTATACATATACTCATATGTGCCTACATACACACATATGTAAAGAAATACAACATTTACACTAGGCATGAAAAGAAAGTATAAATGTACATACATACTGACAAACTCAGAGCATTCATTTACTTCCTCCTTCATGTATATGTAAATAAACAGTTGGATCAATATTTGTACTTATTATTTATACGTAAAAAATATTTACTTGATCGAGAGTGATTCGTCTTCGCTGGTGAGCCTATGAGTGCGCGTTAAATGAAAGTATAATTTTAGTTTTGGTTAATTTCTTTCAAGGTAAAACATTTTCATTTATTAAGTGAATTTCTGTTAAGGTGAATATTTGTTTGTTTTGTTCTTAGTGAAATATGCGCGAAACTAAGGATATTCGGAACTCAAGAGGGGTGAAACGTGTAAAAAATTATCTGAAAAATATTCCATTTCGAGCGGAGGGGCAATAAAGATTTTGAAAGCTTCAAGAAATGGAAGAACTATAAACTTTTGGTTTAAAGAACTATGTCGCGAAAATAACGAAAACACTATACGTATGTATGTACATATAACATTTTGGAATCAAGAAATTTGGTTTGATGAATCCTTGCATTGAAGTGAAACAAAATTTGTACTTTCTGTTTCTGCTAAAAGATATATTAATTTATAATTTGGTTCTTAAATACCTATGCAAATATTATATTGTTGTATAAATTACTAATTATTTATTTTAATAAATCTGCATTGAAATAACGTCTACGAAATTTATACTCATTTTATGCCTGGTGTATATCTTAAAAGAAGTCTACTACATTGATTTTCCATAAAAGAAATTATAGGCAATTGCTGCGCCTGTATTGTAAAAAATTAAAAGTAGTAAAAATATTTCCCTATTTCACTCTATTGTTCTTCTACAGTATTTTAAATTTTAGTGTAAAAAGTTTAACCGATATGTATAAACGGAGTTGTGATAAAAATACATATGTAATACTTTTTTATACTCTCGCAACAAAGTGGCTAAAGAGAGTAGTATAGTTTTGTTCACATAACGGTTGTTTGTAAGTTCTGAAACTAAAAGAGTCATATATAGGTTTATATATACCAAAGTGATCAGGGCGAGTTGAAATCCGGATGTCTGCCTGTCCGTCCGTTAGTGGAAGCTATAACTTGAGTAAAAATTGAGATATCATGATGAAACTTGGTACACGTATTTCTTGGC